TACTTCTGCTTTACGTTCATTCACGTACTTTACTCCATTTCATCTCTTTAATTCTTTTTCCTTTAATCAATGTTGCCAGATCATTTTGAATATTTTCCCCTAACACATATTTTTTAAAAATCCCCAACAGCTAGAAATAGAAATATCCTAATTTTGGTTACATGACATTTTCCCGAAAAAAAATTAGACTGGAAAATGTTGGTACTAATGTTGGTAATAAATGTTGGTAATAAAAATCTCTAGGCATGATTTTAATTTGTATGGGTTAGCAACACTGCTGAAGTAGGAAGGGTATGGTCAACGTGATGTTGCAAACGCTTTGAAGCGTTTTTAATTGGTCAGTTTGTAAAATTCTTTCTTCTAATTGGTTCATCAAACGCTGCAAAGCATTTGTAGCGGGACTTTGACAATCCTTGTTCGATACAGAATCGTTTCTTAGGGAATAGAGAACAAGGAGTCGATTCTGTATCTTGAAACGAGGTGAAAAATACAAAAGTGAGCGAATTTACTAGAATACCGATAATGTAGTTGATCAACACTTAGTAAATTCGCTCACTTTTGTAATTTTCATCTTGTTTGAAAATACAGAATCGAGCTCGTTTTCTATTCTCTGTTCCTTTTATTGTGCGCAGCCCCTTCCGCGCTAGTGTGCAGGAGTCAAAAGTGCAAATGAATAAACCTCATGTAGCGTTAACGTGTTCTCATTCTTGATCCATTATTATCGAACAGTATAGTTTCTAAGAGTAATTCTAATTAAAGAACACAATATAGTTATTGTTACATGCGTAAAAAATCGTTTCAATGTTTTTTATATAAATAATCACATATGTCGGGTTGCGCAAAATCTGTTGAGATTTAATCTATAGCGTCCTAACCTCAACATGTTGCATGGGTATGTATTTTTATTTTAAATGTTAAGAAAATTTAAAATAATTTTATCTGTCTTAGTGTTTTATCTGCCTTAGTATTTTAGTGAAATCAATTGATTTCAATGTATCTGTACTCTTAGAATTGTAAATCTTCTGTTTTAAGGCCTATGTTTACAGTTGTGTTTCTTCTCTATTGAGGTCTTGTTATCGGCGAAACAATTCAAGACAAATCTTGAGAATCAATTCGATATTTATTATAAACTAATGTTAATGTAAAGTTTGTATTTCTTAAATTTGCGTATCACGAACAATTCATTTCAATAACCTAATATTAAGGGTGATTCATTTTAATCTTAACAGGCAAATATTTCAAAAATTATGCAATTTTATCAAAAAACATTTCAAATACGAGTGAAGAAGAAGAGAAAGGTTAAAATGAATCATCTTGTATATTATGAAAAAAATTTATCTTAATAATATTTTAACTATGTATTATAAATGTTTTATGTTTAAATTCTAAACAGAATTGTAAGGCTTGTAATATATTCTTGTAAGATTTGTAAGAATTTTTAAGTGCTTATACCTTTATATAATGTTTTTACAGACACCTTACTAACCATAAAATTGCAATAAATTGTAAATATTTACGAATAATCATATGTCTTATTATGATATGTATATATAAAATTAGAATACTAGTCGTAAGTTCTTACAAGTTTTACAAAAATACATTACAAGTCTTACGATTCTGCTTAGAATTGATGACCCATTATTTTCTGTGTTGATTGAGTATAATTTATCATGTAGATGCAAGAAATTCTATGCAGGTGGCTTGAAGCTACCTGTGCAGATTATGTCTTCGAGATACGCTGGTACATTGTCCAAGGCAGAGGCCAGAAAACGAAGGAACCAGCTTTTCGACGAAGAGAAGCGGAGGCAACGATCAGAATTGGGTAGAATTGAGAAGATAGAAGTGAAATATAAGTCGGCAGAAGAAGAGATTATAATGGCAATGAATCGAAACATTTCTACACCGTACGACTGTGCCAGGCACATTTCTGAAAGCGTTGCTAAGATGTCAGCTATTGCCTTGGTGGATAATCAAGTTTGGGACATGCACAGACCATTTACGGGTGACTGCGAATTGCAACTGACTACCATGCAAAGTCCACGGATACGGATGGTTAACTACGCCTTCTGGCGAACTTGCTCGTTTATTCTGGGCGCTGTAGCGGATTCTGCATTCAAGGACAATATAAATTTGCACTTGCACAGTTTTCCTATTCCAAATATTACCTCAGGTAGCTTCATTTATGACGTATTTATTGATCTGCCGGACTGGCAGCCAACTAATTCTGAATTATGTGCCATGTCTGCACTTTTTGTCAAATTGAAAAATCGCGAATTACTACTGGAAAGGTTGGAAGTGCCGTCTAGCATTGCATTGGATATGTTTCAGGTAGAGATGGAATAAAATTGACTTAATTTATTAATCGTGAAACACAAATTGTTAGTTGTTTCTAATCACTTTTTAACTCGTGGTCAGAACACATGTAAGTCTGATAATCCTAGGAAAAAAAATAGTGTTTTCTCTGAAAGGATTGTTGTATGTTTATAATATATATGTCAAACAAGATTTAGAAACAGTAATTCTGTTAATAATATTTTATTTGTATCTTTCAAAACAGTCTTATACTGTAGATTAAGAATATATAATTAAACTTGAAAGTTTTTTCACTTTTAGCGTAAAAAAAATATGTTCCTGTTTTGAGTTAAATTTCTGTATAGGATTTACATATATTATATTCACGCATATATTTCTTCTGGAGTATTTTTTCAACTTTCTATGTTGCTAATTTACTAATTTGCGTTTTGTAAAAGTTGAATTGTATTTCTAAAGAAGAATTTTGTTTTTTTAACACTTTATATTATCACATACAATTATATCGTTAGATCATTACGGCTGTGTCCCAAAAATTTATCGCTAGCACTGAAAATGTTATAATTTACGTGCACTATAGATTTCAGTACTGGCAATCAATTTTGGAACACAGCCTTCTTATTAAGATGTTAAAACTGGATATTGAGATATTATTTTACAAACAATTGCTATTATTTTTAGAATTACTTGATAAGTTATTTGATCATATATTTACTTTCAGGATAATCCTTTCAAATCCCAGCAGATACCCAATATTGTGAAAAACAGTAACAACGATAGAGTAACGTTGTATCGTATGGGAGACCATGTGGATATTAGCAAAGGCCCTATGGTAAGCAATAGCGGCCTGGTGGGACGCGTTACTGTATCGGCAATACACAGACTCACAGACGGATCCATGGATGGTCTATATCGCTTTCAAGGCATTGCTTTACCTAAAGGTATTCTACTTAATCATTTCGCCTACGGTATCTTGGAAAAACGCGCTAAGAAATTGAACACCATCACGTGGCAGTCTCATCGAGTGGAGGAGGAAGCGGTCAGCATAACAGCATCCGTGAATTAAAGACATTTCATTATTTAAGAAAGTTTTCTTGTAAATAAATATACATCTTTCAGTCACTTGGTTTTCAACATGTCATGTTTTTATGACCTTTTGCTGTGTTTTTACAGATTAAGCCTTCTATTCTTTGACTATATACATGTTTTTTTCACTAGATTATGACATCAGAAGCGAGAATTTTGGCGTGCAATATATAGCAAAATAAATTTATTATTTTTATCTGTAGTAAAATAGAAGGTGTTTAAAAACTTCAATATTCGAATAAAATGTGCGGACCATTTTATTTTATCTTCAGTTACATAACAATAAAAATCGGTCTAATCGCTAAATATTATTGTACATTAGATATAAGAATGTATACATAATTCACCGACATTGCAAACGGTTCTTTCGAGGATTACACACCTCCCAGGTGAAGGTATCTGGCAGTCTGTTGATCTTGGACACCGCGCATTTTACACTTAGTTTCAGGTATAATTCTTGATTCGGATTGGTACCGCAGCTATCAAGGCTGTCTGTTTTCAGATTCATCCTTGTGGCAAGCGGCGCTAATTCTGGCGAACATCTAAATTAATAAAATCACGATTGTGACAGTTTTTTATTTTATTGTATACTCGAAAAAAAATGCAAACTTTAGACACTTAATCGAGAAGCCGTTCATTGAACAATTGCTTTAATTTACTCTATTATTTTATAATAATATTATCGATATTATGTAACGATTATTATAGAACAATATTAGAAAAAAAAAATCTCATAATCATTAAGTGTGATTATTTTATAATATTATTGATAAAGCAGAGATTAAATATTATTTTAATAATATCTCTCCAATTTCAGATATTTTATTTTTCAAGTTAAAGTTGATAAAGAAGCTTTATTTTCAAGAATTTTCAGAAAAAACTTCATTTTGCGACAGTCACACAATTAAGCAAGAAGATTTTTAAACAAGTTGTTTACAGGAAAATCGGGAAGGTTTCTTTTTTTACTATTGTGATTTGTGACAAATAATTTTTTATTCTTAGTAAATTGCCTTAATTGGATTCCAATGATCAAATCGAAGCAAGGCCTATTAGTCTCCTCTTCAATTTCTCCGCCAGTGTTTCCCGCGTTACTGATCCTGGTGTATTTGAATCTATTCTCGTAAGCGTATTTGCTCATATTACCATAATAAAAGAACTGGCCCCCATATTCGCCATATCCTGAATACGTGGAAGCCGGCGGTGGTCTTCGGGATGCTAACGATGGCGCCTGAAAAGGCGGAGAATCTCAATTGAAAAAAATAAAATGCATTTTTACTATATATCAGATAAACAAATTTTTTGATAAATTAATAAACATCATCTATGTGACAGCTAATAATTATTTTGCAATGAATTATTTACAGGTTTTTAAGATGCTTTGGTAATCACTATTATTAAAATTGTTGATTAATTTAATTTAAGGTATTATTTCAGTTTTAGTTTGCGATTTTTAAAAATGTATTTGAAAAAAATTTGCGTATTAATATAGATATTATTAAGCAGTAACGATTCCCTTTGACCAAAAATAGAATTGTTTATTATTTTTTTTAATCGATTTATGAAATCTTTTGACAAATGGCTGTGTAGTAGCTTTTCAGCGACTAGTTAAGTTTTACGAACCATCGCTCGAAGAATGAGCTTGCGTTCATAATGCAGCTTATGAAACAGATGTTTGTTGTAGCTGCCAACTAAACGGCGTAATCTCAGATACATATATCGTTGCTTGTCCCGCCAGCAATACTCGTTACTTGCATTAGGCACCCGTAAGCATGTGAACCATGCGCGTCTTAAGACGTATTTGAGATGCATGCTGACCTGGAAATTAAATAGATGGATTGGACTATATTCTATATACAGGGCTCATTTTAAATGATGATCTCAAACTTCTCTTGAACAGGGCATTTTAGAGAAAAATGTTTCAGACAAAAATTTTGTGACTTCGAGGGGGACATAAAATGGTATTGATTTGACCTTAGATGGCATTGTTAAGGTCAGGACAAAGTCACTTTGACCTTCCTTTAATTAATGATAACGCCATTTAAGATTTAATTAATGGTATCATCTTATGTCATCCTCGAAATCACAAAACTTTTGTCTTAATAAAATATTTTTCTCTAAAATGCACTGTTCAAGAGAAATTTAAGTCGTTTAAAATGGGACACCCTGTACATCGCTCTTTTGCTTCAAAAGTAGACAAGCGTTTATTCCATAATTCCATATATAATATTTATCCTGGAATAATTTGGTTTTTTTAAAATTAACACAAAAAAATTAAGTTTCCTAGAAAAGAGAAAAACTGGATAGAAAATTATTAACTAATCAAAGCCATTAAAAAATTCTTAACCAATTCTGATCCAATGTCATTTTTATTTCACAAAAACTTAAAACTCCTTAAAAACTATTTTTTTTAGTTGATTCTTATTTTAATTATTTGGAGTTGTGATGATTTTGATAATTTTTTTTTAAATTAATTTATTTATAATGATTGAGCGGGTATGTTAACTTTATTCATAGTAAAAATTTGAGAATTATTTTTTTAGTTTTTTTAGTCGTGTCACATTTGAAGTAAAATAGCGATGTATATAATAGTGCAATATCCACAGACTCTGTTTTGATTTAAATTCTTATAAATCTCTTTTTTGCTTTAGATTCTCATTTAAGATTTTCATTTAAGAAATGTTTGTATAATATTAAAGAAATATCGCTATCAGTAATTTTTCTCGACTACCTTAGATAATTAAAATTTGAAAATTTAGATTGCTTTACGAGACATTTTTTTTTAGAAATTCTTAGGAATTTTGAAAATTTTGAATGTTTGAAATTCTTGACTTTAGAAAATTCCCTTAGAAATTGGAAATCTTTTCGTTTTAAAATAAAATATAAGAGAAATTGTTAAAAATAAAATTTCTTCTCTCAAATCTTAATATCTTATAAAATATCTTAATAATTTTATAAACAAAATAATTTGAGATAATAAAGTTTTATAAATGTAAAAGGAAAAAATGTATTGTTGAAAAATTCAAGATTTCACGAGATTCAATACATTCAAGAGACTTTCAAAATTAAAAAAAATTTTTAATTTTAAATAATATTTGGATTTTTGTAATATATAAATGTGCCAAAATATTCGATATGTCCTGTTCATCATTGAATATCGCATCTTCAAAAATTCTTTACCACGGGATTGTCAGTTCTTGATGAAATCCTAAAGGATAGCACCTGCCGACCTTCTTCCAGACAGTCCAGAACGTCGACTATCTTACATCCTGATACCAGCGCAGATCTATTGACGATTTGTCTTTACTGATCATTGCTTAAACGAACATGAGCGATAGCTATTCGATCGAAGATTGTTGATTCATTAATCGAACGCTGATAAGTGATATTAAATGCAATATTAAATGGTGAGATGATGAAAATAAGGAGATTACCCATTTATTTTGCGTTCAGTAACTTTTTCGAAGTGATCCATGAAATTCTCGCAAGTGCGTGTGAAGATCTGCAGGTCGATATAACTAAAGACGCGCGACTCTTGGCAAGGATTGAAGACCGTCTGCAGTAGGCAATTGAGATTATCGAGGATTCTACCGCCGTAAAAGCAGGAGATGGGTAAATCACGTGATCTATTTAACGTAAATAAAATAGGTAAGGAAGTATTGATCCTTTTTTTATACGTTTACATAAATTTAACGGAATTCTCTTTCTTAAAATTAATGCCCATTCAGCAGGAAAAAATATATTTTAAATCGGAGGAGAATATTCGAATAAATTAATTAATACATTAATATTTAACGATAAAACATTAACGATTAATGTTAAAGTTTTTTTTATCTTATATTACGGAAAAAGTCCCTTTATAAATTGTAAAAAAAAAAACCTTTCCCCATTAATATCTTTATTAAAAATGATCAAAATTTAAATTTAAAAAAAGATTTTAAAGCTTGAAATCTCTACTTTTGAATGGTTGCTATATTTTTTTAATTTATGTGAGTTTTGTAATTTTTACATATAGAAAACTACTGAAAAAAGTGAGAAATTTTCTTTGTAGGTCTGTAGCGTGCTCAACAAAATTTGAACAAATGTTTGATTATCTATCGTGAAAGCTCGAAGTTTTCTCCACAAAATTTTTTTTTTCTTTAATGTTCCTATGATTTTTTTATTTCCAAGTTACTCTGTTAAATTAAATAAAAAGGAACATTCTAACTTTATTGCACGTAATTAAGTTAAAAATTATCGTATCGCAATTAAAAATATAGATTCTTAAAGTTGAAACGTTGCTCTATCAAGTTGTATAATTGCCAATTAAAAAAAAATAGACTATATGGGTTGCTAAAAATCTTTTTGTCTTTTGTAAAAAGACTTTTTCCCCAATATATCATATGTTTTAATTTTTAGAAGTTTTAAAAAATATTTAAACTCCGGAGAGAAGATACAATATTTAGCACAAAAAATATAAAAGTGTATATTTTTAAATTATAAGGACATGGAAGAAAATATTGAATATGAGGAATTTCCTAAAGTTGAATAGCAAACAGATTTAAAAATCAATTCAATAATCTTGAATAAACTAGCGGAATTTTATAGCAACCAAATAGCAATGATCTAATATAGATCATCAGTTTGAGGTTGAAGAATTCAGAAACCTTGGATGGGTATATCGCCATGTGACTGCCTTCAGCATTCGATATTGGCAGCGAATAAGTTCCAGCGCGTTAAAAATTTTGTTGCATTCTACTAACTCCGTGTTAGTCTTTACGTTGTTCATGAGGTCTTCCGTGCGTTTTATTGCAATCTCAAGCTTGGTGCCAGCCACTAGAAATTCGCTGTTCAGTACGGTGGCAGCAATGTCGTAGCAGCGTCTATTTAACAATTAGGATCAAGAAAGAAATGAGAAAGTATCTAGACTTCTTTAGAAAATATGAAATATTTTAGGGAAAGCTGGAATTTAAAAGATTGATTTAGGATTTATAATTTTTAAGAGGAACAAGAAATTCCAAAATTTTCTTTTAAATCTGATGGTTTTGAAGTTGACAGATCTAAATGATTTAGTTTTTAACATCAAATTCTTCTTTCTATGACTTCCAATTTTGAAATTTAAAATCTCAAAGCAAAATACTGAAGTATATTTAGGATCACAGTTATGCAGTGTAATACAGAAATTACAGTATAAAATCTATCCATTAAAAAAATGTATTTTCTAAACATTTAATATTTAAATTCACAATATATTCCAAAAATTAATAGTAAATTAGGAAATTAATTAGAATAAATATATTGATGAGCGGTAAAATTCTAATAATTGTTTTCGTAATTTTTAAAACTGCCTTTAATTTTGCTAAATTGGCATTGGATCTACCTGGAGACTAAACGAACGGTGCAGGCTACGTCGTGCAATGGTAGCATCTTCAGGATGATACTGAGGATTTCCGGCGGTAAACTATCCAACGTGTATCCGACACTCTTGCATTCTTGTGCGTCCTGTCTGCATCGCGAGAATACTCTCCGCCGTTTCGCGCCCATTTGACTCCTTTTGGATTTCGTCCTTGCTCGCGATCGTGAGCAATTACAATCGATCGCGATCAATCATGAAAATTATGTGCGTCTTTGCATACCGATCACGATTGAAAAAAATTTTTTTTTTTCGGTTATAGGACAAGAATTCTCGAAATTTTGCAAGAATCTTTTGAGGAGTAAGAACTCTCTAATTTGCACGAAACAAAAGAGTCTTATATCACAATTCTCTCCTATCATTGTGGGAATAACTTCAATCTGAAGACAAGCGAGAAGCTATGGCCTATGATTGAAATGAATATACATCTTCCTAGATTCTAGATGATACAAGTCTAAAAACATGCTAATTTTATCTTTAAAGATCTTTTAAATTCTCTGTATTTCTACAAAAATTATCGTAATAACACTTACGATTTCTATTGCTGTATTGCAATATGATTAACTTAAATTTTGTCTTTAAATTATTTTTTCTTCAATTAATCATTTCTTGAATTATTTTTGTATAAACATCTCGATATTATTTTCAAAATCTGTTTTTGAAAAAAATAATTAGTATATAATATGTATTTTTTTATTAAAAAATTTATATAAAATAAATGTAAAGATCGAGGAATAAAACGAATACAAGAAGTAACTCCATTGGTTCAAGATTTATTTTTTTATATATTTCTCATAAAGTATAGAATGATAAATTGAATATAATCGGTATGATGTTCACATGATTTTGATTTGTCAATTATTAAAGTCAATTAAATTTGTGTTTATCATCCAACTTGAAAAAGTTGTCGTTTGAACATATTACTTTCTGGTCATTGAGTAACTTTGGAATACTTTAAAATAAATTTCACTTCATTACAACCTTTAGAATTCCAAAGATCCAAAAAAATTGACACTTTCAAAGATCTAAATATAAGATAGATCCAAAATTTCGATCCAAAATTTCATCTTTCAAGCAACTATTATATCGAAAGATTTAAAGTAAGAATTTAATTTTCCAAGTATTCACAGTTTCAAGGAATCCGTCTTCTAAATAATAAAAGTTCCAGGGGTCGAATCATCTAAACATCCGAAGTTCCAAAAAGCCAAAGTATAAAAGGCCCAAGGTTCCAAGGATGCAATGTTCTAATCTGGATTGATCCGAAAAAGTTTCGAGGAATTAAACTCTTACAGTTGAACATGAAGGATCCACAGTAATCTTTTTTAGACGACAAAGGCCTCTTCGACTCTTCTTATCCGCCAAAATTTACTGGCATTAACAAAGTGAATTTGGCCTGATCAATGTTTGTCTCTTCGGCCGCGCACGGCCCAATGCTATCTAATAAACTTTGTATTGCGCTCTGATTACTTGGATGCTTTCTCTTGGTATGTTCGCGACGATGCTTGAGCTCTTTGAACGTTTTACCACATTGCTCACAGGAGTACGGCCTGGCAGCCTCGTGAGATCGTAGATGACCCTCGTAGTGGCTCTTCCTGACGAATTTCTTACCGCATAGACCACAGTCATACTGAAAACGGCCTTCATGAGCGGCCACATGCGAGCTCAGAGTCCACTTGGTTTTGAAAGTCTTTGAACAGTAATCGCACCTAATCTTCGAATCGTTTTTGTCTGTCCTTCGAGGATCTTTCTTTATCAATAGCATCTCTTCCAGAAGAAAGTCGTCTTCGTTTTTCACAATTGTTGACGACTTATCTATCATCGCTTGACTCTGCAGCATATTCCTAGTATGTTCCTCTTGCTTCAAGTGATTGTTCTTTGGCATTATCTACACAAATGATTAATACATATAATTATTTATATAATTTGAGAAACAAATTATATATACAAAATATAAACATTTCGTTTTTATTGTTTCAAAAATTTATTTAATTGTTTCTGTTATCTCTAGCTCTAATTAATTAAGAATTTGTTTAAGAATTAGAAGAATAATCGAATAAATCGTACTTTGCCATGTGAGACCAGATGAGCTTTGAGTTTATCCTCATCGTTGTACCTCTTCGTACATCGCGGACAAGGATATCCGCCCTTGTTTCCTGTATCGCGCATAAGAGCGTCTTGTAAAGTTGCATCGCTCGTTGCGTTTTCGATATCGACTTTTTGTTCAGTTTGCTGCAGCTTTTCCTTGCGCATCGCGTGCCGAGCTATGTGCCGTTTCAAATCGTGCAATCTAGAAAATGCTCGTCCATATCGCATGCATGTGGGAAAAGGACAGCCTTTTCCACACGTCCTGTTCCTCGGACTGGAAAAAAAAAACACGTATTTAAAATTTTCAATCCTTTTAAATTAACTGTTAAAAACAAACCTTATTCAATGTAAGCAATTGTTTATTGAAAATTGAAAAGATAAAAGTAAAAATTGATCACTTTAAATGAAAAATGATTGAAATGGAATAGTTAAGATATTGAAGAAATTCTAAAGATCTTAATAATTTAAAGAATCTGAAAATTTGATCATTAAGAAATTTAAAAGTCAACAAAAGTGAACTTCTATACCAAAAATATCCTTATTACATCAAGAATAAAATTGTATCCGATTCAATATATGTATAACATATGTATGTTTTACTCAATATGTGTATTTTTCAGATTGAGACATCTAGAATTTACAGATTGTGAAAGAATCTATGGTAAAGTTCGCTGTTTCCTGTACCTTCGAGGAGGATTGACAATTACTGGGACTGCCCGTTTTGTATCACTGCCGTAATCCTTACTATTCTTGTCGACTTTCTGACTAGCCATTGTGGTCAGCTGTGCTGATAACGGTATCACGATGGAAATAGTTTCATTGGACCCTGGTGTGACGATAGGCCCAACATGAATCGCTGGCGGCGTTGCTAACGATATACTGCTCTCGTTGCTCCTACTCATGTCGATTTCGTCCAGGAAGAGTATTTGTTAAGGTAGAATCTGCACAATATGTTATAATTATTAATGTTGAAATCTTGTTTTTAAAATTATTATCAATACTAAATTATTCATCAAATAGGAAAAAGGAAATCCTGGTCATAGCGATCTAAGCTGGGATCTTTTTAATGCTAATTTAAAGTGAATTAATATTATTATTATTATTATTTATGGATTGTTGATCACATAAACGTGAGATATTAATTTCGAAAATAAGATAAATGGAGAAGTACGAAAGTTTAATTAAATAGAGTTTAATTAAAGAGATCGTTGCATGAACGATAATAATTTCTTAATTATTATTAAACGTTCATTCAATTAGTGAAATACATATTAGAATGATTAAAGAAACATCTATTTACAATGTAATTTGTTAAAATTGTAATTTGAATATAATTATAATTATTAATTACAAGTCAATTTGATTTCATAATTATTAAATGAAAAATATTTAGATAAAATATACATGTAGTAAAATATAAACATGTATATATATTTATTTATTGAAAATTTTAGAGATAATAAAGAATATATAAACGTGCGTGTGTGCGTTTATTGTATTATTATTAAATATTTATACACTTATTAGCGAGTTACATACTAAAACATTTTAGTAAAGACACGCTAATTGGTATAAATTCTTCGCATATCTTATTAACAAATGCTTCGTTAATTGAATTTCATGTATACAGTTTAATTTTGTTTAAGGAATTTGTTAAAGCAATAAAAATATAATACCTAACGTAACTTTGTTTATACACTATTCGAGAAATAAATATTATACAAAATATTATTACGAAAATAAATAAAAAAATATCATATGTATAAAAAAAAATACAAGTATTCTTATTTAATAAAACATGATTTTTAAATTGTTGCTCGCACTTCCGTTAAATAGAATTTATGAAAATATGAATTATCTTGTTTTCAATAACTTTAAAATAGAATACATTCTAAAAGTATGAATAATTTTGTATCTCATTTTTATTAAAATCTGTATATATATATATATATA